TATCTGGAGTCATTAATCCTTATGCTTTCTCCTAACTCCCACTTCTTCAGGTCTCCAATTACATAATGGTTCCTCTAAGAAACATTTTCTTACCATCAGAATTAGGATTGGGAGCTTCTCCTTGGTGATATCACAGTACCTTTGCTTTTTACTACTTGTTGGTTCAGGAATCCTCTATTAAATGGTTACTATGTATGGGGCTTTATTCTAGGAACTTGGGATATCTTGATGAAAGTATTTTTTAATGGCACTTACTTTCAAGTAGGAGGAGATAATTAACAATGCAATGAATAAGTCAATGATAAGAGTAGTACACTAAAAGGTAATAATTGGGAATGCCGGATTAGGGAAAGGGTGATGCACACCCTAATGGTGGCAAGAGTGCAGTTTTGTTTTTTTTGGGTTTTTTTTTTTTATTGTTGTTTTGAGATGGAGTTTAACTCTGTTGCCCCCAGGCTGGAGTGCAATGGCATGATCTCAGCTCATTGCAACCTCTGCTTCCAGGATCAAGCGATTCTTCTGCCTCAGCCGTTGGAGTAGCTGGGACCACAGGCACATGCCATCACACCTGGAAAACTTTTTGTATTTTTAGTGGAGACAGGGTTTCACCATGTTAGCCAGGATGGTCTTGATCTTCTGACCTGGTGATCTGGCCTGCCTTGGCCTTCTAAAGTTCTGGGCTTACAGTCGTGAGCCAACGCGCCTGGCCAAGTTTTCAGTTTTAAATACACAGCCTGCTAGTGGCTTCCATGAGAAGATAGGATTGGAAAGAGATCCAAGTGCAGGAGACTTAGCCATGCAAATATTTAAGGGGACAACAGTCAAGAAGAAGAGACAGCCAGTGCAAAGGCCCTGAAGTAGGAAGGTGCTTGGGGTGGTTGAGGAACAGCAAGGAGACCAGTGTGGCTGAAACAGAGGGAGCCAGGGAAACCGTGCACAGAGATGTAGGTCCATGGGACTTGGTGACAGAGCCTCATAAGAAAACAGGATGACTCTGGCTCTTTCACTCCAAGTGAAATGGAGAGACATTGGAGCATTTAAAACAGAACCACAACATAATCTATTTATACTTTAAAAGGACCACAAAGATGGAAGATAACAGGGGCAGGGGTGAAAGGAGGGAAATCAATTTTAGAGACTGTTGCAATAATCCTATGATGGTAGCTGGATTTAGGTTGGCTGCAGAGAAGGTGGTAAGAAGTGAGGCAGTGTTAATGGGCTTTCCTGCTACATAGGATGTAGGTTACAAGAGACAGAGAAGAGTAGAGGACCAAGATTTTGTCTAAGCATAACTGAAAGATGTAGTTGCCACCAACTGGGATAAGAAAGACCACTGAAGGAACAGTTTGTGGAGGCTGAGGAGGAAGTAGTAGCGGAAAATCAAAAGCTCAGTTCCAAATATATAGGTTTAAGATGCAATCAGACAACCTCCATCAATGCTACAAAGTAATTGCTGGTTTCTAGTCTGAAGACTGCAATCTCTTTAAGGAACAGAATTTGTCTTTTCTCTGACCTCTAGAACAGTGCCTGCTGTGGAGTAGACGATAAATATGTGTCAAGTGAGTAAATGAATTAATGTTGTCCCAAATAGCAAATTAGTAAAAGAGAGTCAGATCTCAACTCTCAGTGCCATGGCTTAAGTTATTTTTTGTATAGTATGTAAGAATGAAGAAATTTAAACATTGCAATTTATATTTGGTGGTTATTAAAATATGTTAAATATTTAACCTTAAGATTTTACTTGTATTTATTGAATAAAATTTATTTTAATTTGAAAACTATGCAAGCTGATTTACCTTTAAGGGAAGATGAAAACTTTGAATAATTATTTATTTATTAGTCCCACAATTTGATATAACTTCTATAATTCTTAAAGCCTACCCTGGAAAGAATTTGATGCAATGAGCTGTATTTTTATATATTTTTATGCTGATAGCACTAGTTTTTATTGTTGAGTAGTAAAATGTGATATGAATTTTCAGGCACTGTATCTGATTCAGTCAGTCACCCAAAAGACAACATCAAAGGAAATAACCTCATTGCAAATAATCTCATTAGAAATATTTCGCTTCCTTTCTATAAGCAAATAATATATTGAGACTATGTTCCTTGCTTGTATTTAGCGGATACTATATAATCTATATAGTATATAACTATATAGGATAGTTTTTTTTTCTTTCTTCTGTCTGGGAGCAAAAATAATTATGAAAGCATTATCTTGTCATTACTACCTTCTACATCTGTTGACAATTGAAGAACCTTACCACTTGTAATTTCCATAACATGAGCCCCCTCATTTGTCCCAGATATTTACATTTTTGCAGCGGCAACATATGTGCGGTTCCCTGGATCTGTCACGCTCTTACATTACTTCGAGCCTCTCTAGATTTTGCACTTCCCCAAGCAACTTCCCATACATTTTTCTTCCTTCTCAACCATGTGCAAAGCCTTGCACAGGCATCCCTCTGGCATAAGCCTTCCTTGATCTCCTTCCACACATTGTCATAATCATGCCCAGGAAACTGGCATATCTTTTATGCATCACTCTATTGTATTTGCTGATTGATATGTTTGTCTCCTTGTTTAGGCAGGATTCTGAAAAAAAATTTTCATTTCTTTATATTTAGTTTCTGGCCTTCTGGTACACAACACATTTCTGTGTTAGGATAAACTGCCTCTCCAAACAAATTCTCCCCACAGATTTTCAGTAATTTTTATGAAGCTTTAGGGACCTCATAAAATATGCCTCTGGGATAGCGTTAGGGGGATTATAAAATGTTAAAGTTGGAATAGACTTTTGAAATTGGCTGAAATGCTCTCATTTTAGGAAACGGGTGGGAAAACAAATTAGCCCTTATAGGCACCTGTGTTTCCAAAGCTGTGCTAACCATTTGCAAGTGTTATTTAATCCTCACAGCAACCTGGGAATTAATGGTCATTACTGCATTGTACAGATGAGGCTCCTGGACCCAGGGTCAAATAGTGATTTGCAGCCTAAGTTTTGAAATGCATTAGTCTAGGTTCTTTGAAACACCCCTCAATGAAGGCGCATCATGATCTCTCTGAAAATTGACAGAAGCCACCAAAAGGGAGGCACTATGGAGGGGAAATGCTACAGCAGGAAGGGAGCGAGAAAGGTCACAATGCAGGTTCTCAACACAATGAAATCTGGCACTAGGTTTTGGCAAAATTTTTAACAGAATGCATTGCCAAACATCTCTTATACAGCAAATTCATCTTGCATTTTGATACAGGACACATGAACTTGAATAATGGTATGACTTCTAGGAGAAAAAATTTCATGTTGCTTTAATTTTTTTCCCAGCAGGCAGCAGTAGGGGGCAATGCAATGACTAACAGAGTATTCAAAAGGAGCATGTTGGCTGCATTTGAGGATAACATCCACTCCATCAGGGAACTTACATGGCATCATCTCTGAATGGACGGAAGCCTGCAATTCCACAGAATGAGATCAGCAGTTAGGCCTCTTCTAGGCACAGATGGAGACATACACTGACACCAACTAAGGCTCTGGGTGTCCATCTACCCACTCAGAAGCTTGATTCTATGAAAGTACCTCCATGGTATAAACAGTAGAAACTCTGAATCTCAATTAAGGTCACCAAACAAGAAGTCACCTCGTTTTTTGAAAAAACTAACTTGGTGTTATTCTTTAAAATCCTATGGAATGCTTTTACAAAATTGAGTTAAAAATTAAAAGATCCACTTATAAACCCAAAAGTAGAGAATTTCAAATTTCTAATCCTTTCCTAGGACCAATCTCATAGATTGACATGCATCTATAATCAAACAATGTTTCTATGATGTATACCCATACTGAATTGTGAGAGCAACTGAAATAATGCTATCCTGCCTGATTTATATACAAGCACTTTATAATATACAAACAAAATTACTCAATTTTTCAACTTTTGCTCTTAATTTTCACAAAGAATGTGAACATCATCTTATCTTTCAACCCACTCACTCCTTAAACTACCCTAAGCCAAGTTTTCATCTTAATTCTGCTCTCAGTAAGGTTACCAACAGAAGGGAAAAAAAAAACCTTCCTATCAACAACAAAAACACTGACTATTAAAACTTAAATTCGTGCCTGCATGTGTATATCCAATAAAATGCATCAAATAAACAAGTGAAGACCTTGTGTCCAAATTCATGGAGAACAAAGATGAGTCTGTGTAGCTTTTATACCTGAGCAATAAATAATATTTAGCATTCAAGAATTTTTTATTTGATTCTATAAAGCATTACAGTTACGTTTTAATTATTAAGGTAAATTGGGATTTTTATCTTCTTTTTAAAGTATTCAAGAGACCAGACTACTCATTAGCAGTTATACACACACACACACACACACACACACACACACACACACACTTTTTGCAGCCATATGTTTACTGATTGAACAAAGAACTGTCTCTGGGTTGGCTTTTTGAAGATTAGAACAAACTGACACCTAATGTTCTTTAATTTATTTGCAAACATAATTTTCTAAACAGCAAGTCAGGGTAAAATTGTCCCTTATTGTTCAGATCTCAGCATAAAAATTCCCTGCCCCCTCTATGTCGCTAAGAGTTTGCTGGTCTCTTCCTTCATGTCATTCTTTTGTCCATGCTTATTGTATTTCTTTCATTTAACTGTGAGCAGGGACATTATTCCCTGTCTTTATTTACCACAAAAGTGCCTGGCTTAGAATCCACTCAAGAAAAATGCCAAATGGATTAATAAGTGAATGAATGATTTATTATAACTATCATAGGTGTAAGGAAGTAGAAAACAAGAGTAACACAGCAAAGGTCTAACAGCTTTACTTAAACCATAAAAATGTGAAAAATACGTTTAGCAGTCAGTGCGTTTGCCGGGTTTTGAACCATGTTCTCTAGTCCCTTTATTATTTTCTCCTTCTTCCATATTTGTCAAGGCCCTTCTCTCTCCTCACATAGGAAAGAAAAAGAAAAAAAGCAGAAACTAAAGCAAACCTTAATTGTCGTTGTATGTGCTCCAGGGTATTCTTTTTCTTCCAGTGTTGACCATCTTTCTATAAATTTAGACACCAAGGAATCATCATAGTCCACTATCTGAAATCCAGAGACATTCGCACCTCCAAATTGGATTTTTAATAGGTCTCCATCAGTAAATCCCTAAACACAGAACACATCGATGTCACACTTTTTATTTGAGAACAAAATGCTACTTCACATTTACCAAATAACTCTATATATGTGGTTTTAGATATTTCAAAGAACATATGAGACACAAAAAGCCGGCAGAAAATGTCCCATGTATTTATCAGCCAGTGTTCTTCACCAGCACCTAACACCACGTTAGCATCTTAGTGGGTCCCTAATCAATACATGTTTACTAGTGGGTCATCTCATGAAACACTCACGATTGTACCTAGGTAAAAGTTCTCCACTTTATTGAAAAATCTTCCATTGAAAAGGACTGGGATTTACTTATTTAGTCTACAACACAGAACCACCATGTGGTTATAGACACTTAATAACATTAAACTAGTTTTCCAAGAACTACAAACTTGTGAGCAAGTTACTCCTGCTTGAATTTTTTCTTCACTCAGGTGATATGAACATGTTCAAAATGAGAGTGGGAAGTACAAAATATCCAGTCATTATCTGAGAACAATTAAACAATTTCACAATAAACCTGAAGCTAATTTACAGAATATATTAAATTTTGGAAAAACTCAATTTCTCTTGTATTATTAAAATAAATTCATTCACTTACTAAATAACTGTTACATGACATTTATATTGATTTCAAATATTCTGCTGACATGAATTTTATCAGCTGGATAGTATATCTCTCTCAAAGATGAAATTAATTTCCATATATCACGCTTATAAATTTTTTCACACTTCATAAATACTTATTCTGTATCATTGTACATAAAAGTTGAAAATAGCCTAAATTAATTTTGAATTACCACACCCCAAAATGTAGGAGAATCTTTTCTTTGTTACTGATATTAAAACATATATATTATTATATTATTTAGCTGAAAAAGAATGTAATTACTTTTTATTGGCTCACAATTTTTTTTTGTTTTTATCAAGTAATACAAATAGTATGAACAATTATATAACAAAAATCATGTATTCTCTGCTTTCCCCTATGTATGTTCCAGTTAACCTTCTTCAGAAGATTCAATTTTAATATATTTGCTTTTCACATATTTACCTCTTCTGCATGACACATTTTTATTGCCCTTTCTTATCAATTTTAGAAATTTTTATTGAGTATTTGTGTATGCCAGATGAGTATATAACTTGCTTACATGACAAAACCATTTATTTTCTCACCCATTTTAATCAGTACTTACTGTTTACATATTTATAACTCTAAATGTTATTAACAGCAAAGCCAAATAGTGTACCAGGATGGCATTTTCTTTCTTGAGCATTATCTCAGCCTGTGTTTATAATCATGTCCCATTTTTTCCCTGCTAGAGATTTCTATATGCCTATCCGTATTTTTTCCAGTGCTTCCATGAAAACCCTTCATGCCCATGAGTAAAGCTTTTTTAAAAATAAAATATTCAAACATATCAGGTAATCTATTTCAAATTCAAAAATCTATTTGAATTTTTAATTTCCAGATAGCCCCCTTCTTAATGCTGGAATCCAAATTGGCCCTTCTCTCCATCTACTCTACAGCTGTTACCCTTGCATGGTCCTTCACCACTTTTCTGACTGAAACCCCATTTCGTTGGTCATATTTCTCTTTCTTGATTTAATTCTTTCCTCTGCTGGAGTTCTCTGATAGTTTACTGAAACCCTTTGGAGACAAATTTATTGAGACATTGCATGTCTGAAACATAACTATTTTATCCTGATACATGGTTAGTAGTTTGACTTGGTATAGAATTTTGTGTTGAAATACTCATAATCTGAAAGCACTGTCCCATTGACTTTCATTTTCCATGTTTCTATTGAAAAATATGTTATTTCTAATTTTTTGGTATGTGATCTACTTCCCACTTGTATCCACCTCCAGTCACTTGCTAGAAACGTTTAAATATTCTCTTTATCTCTGAAATTCCATTATGATAGTGTAACTGTAGGTCTTTTTTCTTTTATTATTCTGTATATTTTATAGGCAGATTTATGTGATTCAGTGTTGGAAATGTTTCCAAATGTTTCTTTAACATTTTCCTTTCCCTGGTTTCACAGATCTCTCTTTCTAGAACATCAATTATTAAGACAATATAACACTTAAATTAAATGTCAAAGTCCCTTATACATTTACTTTTTCTATAAAGTTGAGAAAATCTTCCAGATTATGTAAATCTTCCAGATTACGACAATACGAATATAAAATAGAAAGAAAATACAGATAAAAATCTGTAAATTTTACATATTCTGGAAGATTTACATAATCTGGAAGATTTTTCTCAACTGTATCATGTAACTCATTTAACCTATTATTCTAGGAAACAAAAGAAGTTAATTTTCTAGAGCTCTTATTCTTCATTTCTTTTTCTTCTCATAGCATCCTCTTCTCTCACGGATAAAATATTTCTCCTTATTTAAAAGCAGATAATAATTACAATTTTAAAAATTTTCTCCTGTTTCCTGCCGTGTGTCTGCTTGTATTGCATACTTCATGGTAAGGACTTTTTCTCAAAAACCAAGTTATGCTGGGCTAGTTAAGAGCAAGACACCAAAATATTTCTTGGAATTTTTATGTGAATGGGCAAGGCTCATTAACGAGCATGCTTCATTGTGAGGTAGATGGTGAGGTGGGGTGGATAGCAGTGTTGTTTGTCCAGATCCAAGTTCTTTTCTCTGGGCCATTTAGTTTCTTCAGAATTGTCAAATCTCCTACACAAGTGCATATTCTTGGCTAAATTTTAAGGACAGGATGGAGGATGGTGGATGATGAAGTTGAGAATTTCATATAGAGACATTCACTTAGTTGCTCACATTTCTGAATCTAAAATTTTCTCTAATTCACATTCTCTATTAAGAAGTATTATCAAGAGAGGAAGTAGGTGCTTAAGAACCAGGACTTGTAGTTACCTGGTTGTTTGCGTTACGTGGAAAGACTCCTTGGGGTATCCAATTATTCCCTATGGCCCTTGAAGCATGTCCCTTGATCTTAGTGAACCATTCAGGTTTCCTAGGATGCACTTTACATGTGTATTTGATTTGCTCATCCCCTAGGAACTTCTCCTGCTTTGGCCAATGGCTAATATCCATAACCTCTCCAAGAGAATTGCCCTAGGACAACCAAAGCTGTCTGGCCAATGGCCCTTGCTCAATAGCAAAAACTGGGATCTAGGTACAAAGACCCCTTGTCTCAAGCTGAATGACTGCCGTGCAATTTATACAACAAAGTGCCTGATGGGATCAGACTAAACCCAAATCTCACCTCAAACCACATTCTTACTCAGCTTTTCTTCTTTCTCTCCCTTGCTTCCCTCACTCACTTACAGGTTACCCCTGAAAGCACTTACTTGAGAATGTGTACATTTAATATGATGTTTTAGCTCCTTGCCTCAACCTTGCTTTCCATGGTTTCTGGCTTTTCTAAGACTGAATCTCACAGGGGTTCTGCAGAACGAACAGGCTTGTTCTCATCTATATCCCATCCTCACAGGGCCTTTTTTTAAAAATCTTCCTCCTTTTTGCTATGCCAGGAATTCATCTTTTATCTGCTATGTGTCCTGAAACACTTTGTTAACTTTTTGCATCTGTTAATGTTTCCTTTCCTATTTTCTCTTTCTCTAAAACCTTAGAGAGGTTTTTTTTTTTAATTATTCTTTTACTGTCATTTTTTTTGTTGTTGTTTTACTACAATGACATTTAAACTGAAACTTTAAATAAGGTTTCAAGCTGGCTTTAGTGAGAATCTGCATTTCCCTACGTTTTCTTCTTTCTTTTCTGAAACTTCAATTTATGAGATGCAAAATAGAGGAAGAAGGAAAAAAGATAATAAACTACAGCAGAGGGCAAAGGGTAACAAAAGAGATGGCAACAATTCACCAAGTTAAAGTGAACCCTACTACTCCTGGAGCTGTATTTGAAGAGAATTGAAACAGAAGATAAGTCTTCATTCTGTGAAAATTTAATATTTCAGCAGACAGACATGTAAAGTCATCAGCATTATGGAACCATGGCTTTTTAAAGAATTAAATCTATCTGGGTAGTAAGGATGGGGAAATGAGAACCTGATTTCCTTATGACCACTTCTTCATTATTTTATGTACAAGTTACCATTTTCAATGCTGTTGTCGAGGACTTAATCACAGACTGTGTTTTAGGAGCCGAGTCAGGCATTCAACAATTCATGAGGAAATTAATCAGTAATATTTTCTGCAGATTTAAAAAAAAAATCTTCTATAACCCTAAACTCATTGTAACATGAACAAAGAGGAAAAAAGGACAGTCTCAAGAGTTTGGAAGATGAAAGCTCTTTAAATTTGGGTGGCACTCTTTAATTTTGGAGGTCAGTGAAATTTCCAACTGTCCTCTAAATTCTCAGAAATTGCAACACTATACAGCCTTTTGAGCTTATTGATTCGCTAGAAGTTCCATATGGCAAAGAAACCAAGTACTGAGGAAAAGAAAAACGGAACTTTAATTCAGATAAAATAATAGGTAGATTTCTCGCTAGAAGCATGACAACATTTATTTTGACTCTGGTCATTCAAACACCTATTTCCTTTTTCATAGCATTGGATATCAGCTCTCAAATTGATGAGCCACCTTCTGTCATTATTTCTCAATGTTCCAATATAATCTTCTCCATCTGTACATTTTTAAAGATCACAGCTTTCAATGTGGCTTGTGTCGTTCATCAAATGGCACGATTCACACAGGGGACTGACTCTCCAGGCTGTTTCCTGCACATAATGTAGTTCTGGAGAGACTGAATACAGAGCTTCATCTAGTTTAACTCTTGCTTCTCTTTAGAGAGGTCTTGGCATCTCCTTAATACACTCTAAAGGAAAGTCCTAGAGAATTTCTTTAGTATTACCCATTTCATCGCCAAACAGAAAGTCTGTCTTGAGCAACCCAATAGCATGCAGGTTTGAGATTTAATATTCTAAATTCCTCCAACTTCTAGTGAAAACAACATTTATCAGTTGAAAGGTTGTAAGTATTGTATTGTTTTATCTCTTTCTGTCACCACTAGAACTAATGTCTCCTGGTATAACAATCTAATACACTAGGAAAGGAATCACGCAATAAATCTACATTTGTATATGTCAAAAGCTTTTCAAAGTCCTATTGTGCTATTTAGAATAAGTTCTCTGCCTCTCTCCCTCTTCTTCTCACCTTTATTTCCTGTTCTTCGGTGAGACAGGCTGCAGGGGGAGGGTGGTCCCGAATCACATAGCATCTTACTTATTTAAATAACAACCTTTGGAGCAGTAAAGGCTTTAAATTATTTTGAAAAAAGAAATGTCTAGTGATAATTCTAAATTGCCTCTATGACACATAAAAGAGGGAAATACAATTAACTACTCTGTTGCTTCAGTATATTACTCTCTTTTGTTTTCATTGTAAAAACTTTATTCTGAGCCAATGTGAGTGACCACGGCCCAGAGAAAACACAAGGCCAAGAAGCGTTAAGTGGTCCTCATTTTTATAGGATTCTTAATGAAAAGATAGTCACTATAGAAATTCAATTTTCATTGTGTTGTTTTATATAGTAAGTAGGAAATCAGAAATAACACATATCTCAATATTCTAGATAATCTTGGGTTTAATTTTGTACTAAGACATTTTAACAAATTTGCATTTATTTCAGATATTATATATGCTAAAAAATAAAGAAATGTGCAGAGGGCAGAGTTTGTAAAAAACAGACAGTGAAAAACAGAGACAAGGGAATATGTGGACAATTATACTTTACATATTTTTGAAAATTTTCTCTTTCTTAAAATATACCATCTAAGAAAATTTGTGAAGCTTGTCAAATATTGTTCCATAAATTCTTATATCTTTTATAATAATAGAAAACTGATTAGAAGATATAAGGTGGAAAGCAATTATAAAACATAATTTCAAAAAATATCTAATCTATCAAATCAATCAAACTATATGTATTATTATTATTGTTATTTTTTGGAGATGAACTTTTTTTCTTGTCACCAGGCTGGAGTGCAATGCCACCATCTCAGCTCACGGCCACTCCCATCTTCTGGGTTCAAGTGGTTCTCCTGCCTCAGCCTCCCAAGTAGCTAGGATTACAGGTGCCCACCACCACACCTGGCTAATTACAATCAAACTATATTTTTTAAACACCACTGATAAATGCTGACCATTCAAAATTAAATATTTAATGAATAAGCATATCTAGTAAAATAATATATACCAATTAATTCACCTACCAGATTTGCAATGATGTAGTGGTACCCTTTAACATGTTTTCCAATGGTAATAACCTGACAAGGACAAATAAATTATTATTGAATTAATACAAATAATGCCAATGTATTAATGGTATTATGATTTGATTCAGGAAAAATGGTAGAATTTTATCTGCTAGATTTTTTGATGTGCCAAAATAAGTTATTTTTGACAAAATGTAATTATCAAAATTAGATAATATTTCTCTAATAAGAAGTAATGATACATATTAATGCTTAAGAAGTGATTATCTTTCAGGAAGTCATTAACTAAACAAAAATTATTACCTCATTTTTGTCAAGAGCAAAAAATAAAACACAAAATGTTAAGAAGCATAAAACCAAAGTATTTTTAATCTATGACAAGTCATAATTCTATTCCTTCGAAGGCTATGTTTTTGTCTTTTTAATAAAATGTTAAACAGCTCAAACTGTTTATATCTGAGATTTTATATTTGTATTTCCATATTCAAATAAATACACATAGAGTTCATAGTACTACATACATTTTAAAAGAATATTAAAAAGCATATAAAAGAATTCTACATAGATTTATAAAGTAACATTCCTCTCCTAAGGACCATGAAATGTTTATAATTTAGTCCAAATGGACATTATTTCAGCTCTAGACAGCAAAGTATCAGAGAAGCTAATTTTTCTCCACAAATCTAAACCTAAAATGAATGTCAAGATAAACACATTATGGAACAAGTGGTCATCGTGATAATACTGACAACGGTTTTAGACATCATTGATCAATTTGACTTTGATCTATATCAATTACAAAATTACGAAGAGAATAGAAATAGACAAATTGGCTATGCTGTAGTCCTGGTACATGCACATTCAAATGTAGTGTAATATATGTTTTAAAGGAGATAATCACACTAATGGAAGGCATAAAATGTTAGGCATAAAATCCAAGCAACTGGCATAAAATGTAAGGCTATAGACAGAAATTCAAACCAAAACATTTCTCTGATTAAATAGTTTTGGTGGGTTTTGCTTTGCAAAGTCCAATGATCTTGCAAGTTTCCTAGGCTCAACTTTCCTATTCTCCCCCTTAAGTCACATTGACCCTCTTAGGATTTTTGTTCAACAGAAGCTTCTTCTTACCACCTTGGGGCTTCACACATTCTGTTTCCTCTGCTTGTCTGCTTGGAAAGCTCCACCACCACATCCTTTGCCTTATTAACTCTTGAACAATTCTTACACCCCCTGGGAGAAAACTACCTTGACTTTGTCTAATCCCAAACATAGTCAAGGGCTCCAGAGCAATGCTATTAGTTAAAGAGCAAGCACAAAATCCTCAGAACGATTCTACCATATGTCACTTAGATATTAAGCCATAGTTGTTTGAAAGGAAGTTAAAACTTATATTGTTTTCTGACTCAGTTTTACATAACATGACTAAATTGCCTTTTCCAAGCAACTGAACCTTCCGTGTTAAAGGGAGAATTCTGAAGAAAAGATGTCCTTCTGAATGAAAAACATATGAATTAGCATCAGCTGAATCAGATTGATTATGTCCCTCCTATTTCCTGCTGACATCCGTTAGCTCTGCTTACTGTACATTCTACTCTCTGAATCATCCATGTCTTCCTGTTGAGAAATATTTAAAAACATAGTATAAAAGTGATACCAGTAGCCCCTACTTGAGTTTACTTGAAAGAAAGGAAGGATATGAAAATTCACTAGCCTGGCATCTATATAAAAATTTGTGTTGGCCATACTAACCACCATGCCTTTGTGTTATAATAACAATTAGCATTACACTATCAATAGGAAAGTTACATTAATTTATAAATGTTTTTGATGGCTGAATCTTTTTCCCACCTAATAATAGCTAGAAATCTGGGCTGCCATGGTTTTATCAAATGATAATAAAATACTCATAGTCCATGCCTGTTATCCCAACACGTTGGGAGGCCGAGGTGGGTGGATCACGAGATCAGGAGTTTGAGACCAGCCTGACCAACATGATGAAACCCTGTCTCTACCAAAAATAGAAAAATTAGCTGGGTGTGGTGGTGCATGCCTGTAGTCCAGCTACTCAGGGGGCTGAGGCAGGAGAATCACTTGAACCCAGGAGGTGGAGGTTGGAGTGAGCCTGGGTGACAGAGAGAGACTCTGTCTTAAAAAAAAAAAAAAAAAAAAAAACCTAAATTATTTCTTTCTGTAATGATCTCTCGTAACATACTATTGTTTTCATTTATAATGTATTCAGTTAGTATAATTATATATGAACTTCTGTAAATACATTATTAATAGTTGCATTGATGGTGCCTGGCCTATTTTGTTTAACATTGCTTTCTTGGATCTACTGCAGTGCCTGTCTGGCAAACATTAGACACTCAGGGAGTATTTACTGAACAAACAAATGAATGAATCCAAGCAAAGCCAAATGCCACGTCTTATGTGAACCCTTCACAAATGATCCCTCCCCTGTTAAGAAAGGTCCTTTCTCCTCCATGCTCCTAGGCTACATTTTAACTCGTAATACTTTCGTGCTATTTGTGTACATTTTTAAATCTCTAAACAATGAGTTCATGGTATACAGACAGTACTCTTTCTTACCTTTCTTTGAATCCTTCATTTCAGGCCCAGAGGATGGCCTCAATAAATGTTTGCTGAGGCCATCCATTGCATGCTCACTTAATACATTCAAGGTATTTATATATGTGTAAAATACTCTGCATTTTGAGTAGATATTCATAATGGACATTTATGTAACCATAATCTTATTTACTTTAAAATATCACTTCTAATACCTTCCCATTTTCTTTTGTAGTCTCTCTTTTCTATTTTTGGAAAAATATATTTTTATAATAGTCTTTCACCAACATTTATGATGATGAGTCAGGAATACTTAAATTTTTTAAACCAAAGACTAATGAATATGATAAAAATTCAGTTTTAATGAGAACCTCTTATGAAATTCAAATGAGTTTTTGAGGTTCACATTTTAACAAGAGGCCTTCAGGTTAAAAACAATCTTAGCTTCATCTCCTGAGACTGGAATCAAGACTTTTCTACTGAAATTATTCACCTCTCTGGCATACAACATTTAGTTCTTCTGCATAACAAGTTAGTTCTATTCAGTTATTCAACACTCCGTGAATGAAATATTTTGTATGTCTTAGGGTCTTTATTATTATGTATCAATCAGGATTTCATCAACATTTATGTTTGTAGAATGTTTTGTGTTGAACAAATTAATGAATAGTGTTTTTTTCCCAGTGCCTTAGAATACTGTACAAATGCAAGGAAAATACACACTGGTATATGCATTAATGCATTAGTGTGTGTTTTCCTTGCACTTCTACAGTATTCTAAGGCACTAGCAGCCACATTGTATATAGTTGCCCCTTGAACAACATGGGTTTGAATTGTGTGAGACCACTTATACATGGATCTTCTTCCACCACTGCCACCTCTGAGACAGCATGACCAACCATTCTTCTTCCTCCTCTTTTACAGCCTACTCAATGTGAAGATGATGATGATGAAGGCTTTTATGGTGATTTACTTTCACTTAGTGAATAGTAAATATGTTTTCTCTTCCTTATGATTTCCTAAGTAACATTTTCTTTTCTCTAGCTTACTTTATTATAAGGATAGGGTATATAACACATATACAAAATATGTGTTTATTGACTGTATGTTATCTGCAAGGCTTCTGGTCAATGGTAGGATATTGGTAGGGTCAACTGTGTAAATATATATATGTGCACATATATATGTACGTATGTGTATATGCACATATACACTCATACTCACACACATACATATTTATCAGCTAGGAAGAGATTCAGATACCTGTAAAGGAGACCTTATTCAGTCAATCATGATGATGACACTGTGTCACCATCATCCCTAGTCACTTACCCTATGTGTAAATCATGACAGATTTTATCTGTCTTATTAGGGTAATACTGCATGGCTCCCCTATCCTGAAAGATCTCAAACTGAAGCAAGGTAGTTTCTAAGCACAGATAAAAATATCCTTATCACTGGTATCATGGTACTCTTTCAAACAGTCCAAAGGGATGCATCTAGTTTACTTCTCAAATAGTAAACACAGCCCAAATGTGTCCTTCTCACCTATTTTAATTTCCCAATCAATGTTTTTATATTGACACAAGTCCCATAATAGAAGAAAAAATATATCTTGCAAAAATAAATATATACTCTTTCTAGAAGAATAGTCTATGTATCTAAAAAAAAAATCATGAGTTACTCACTTTTCCCTTAGAACTCAACTTGTTTTAACTTAATATATGTCTATTTCTTTAACACCAAAAAATTCACCAGACTTAAATTTAAAATGTTCAAATCAAAATACCAAAGTTTGGGGTGATATTTATCATATAAAACATAAAATTCAGAAATTATATATTGAATTTACTTAATGATTAATATGATGTGTCAGCATTATTGATGACCATTTGCTATTGCTAACTGAAGCCAGAGATAATTTAATTGATGATTTTTGCTGCATCCTACATAAAGCCTAAAGCAAAAACTGCTGTTCAAGCACCTAACACAAATACACATTGCAAATGCTGACACTGCATGCATAGTCTATATTTGGCGTCATTAGAAAACAGAAAGTGGCAAACCTGGTCTACAATGTCGTTTACTTTATCCCTTTCACAGTCCAGAATTACACGCCGTTCCTTTTTTAACTCCAGATCTTGAAAAAGGGATCGGTACATCTCATCTTTCTTTTCATTGTTAATGTTTCCCACATTGATAGCAGTCACTTGCCATTTCTTTTCAGCAGCGGAATCCAGCACAGCTTGCAGGGTTGATAAGCCTAGGAAGGCAAAGAAAAATGATGACTGATAAAGATACGTGAATAACTCAGAACTGTGTTACGAAAGTGCCAGTGAATGTATTTTTAAGGTAGATATATTTGTGCAACTAAAGGAATGTTGACTCCTTCGAAAAAAGCTATAGCTATGATCTTTATCAACTTCTTATGTCACTTCACATCAAAAACTCATTACCTAAATGTTACTGCTGTTCAGACCAAAGGAGTCATTGGTTGAGTAGAAAATAATATCCTATTCTTTCAACCCTCTCAGCTGAATTCTTTAGAACATTACTAAAGTCTAACGTTAATACCTTTGTTTTAAGTGAATGGCATCGCAAACATATCTTATTCTTATAGAATGGAAAAAAATTGTTTAGTTGTACATAACAGTCTGTCATTTGATATTAGTATCCTGAAAAAGATGAGTAGATTTTCAGTGAGAGGAATCTAGGTAAGTCTATGTGAAATTAAGAGCCAATAATCTCTATGAGGCTGCTATATTTTCTCCTATTGCTTTCCAGTCAACAGTTTGGGTTCATTTTTTTTTCCTTCAATAGCATTCTGTTATATATATATATATATATATATTTGTTGTTGTTGTTGCTGGGAATGAACCTGGAGAGATTGGAGTGGTCACCTATAACCAGATGGTGGCAGTTACTTCTCTAGCATAAATTTACCTCTCTTTCTAAATATGAATATTTTTCTGTTAGTAACTTTGCTTATAGCATCATATTAGTTGGAATTTTTTTTAATTGTCCACATATTACCTCATACTTAGGACGAAGAGGTACAACAACTAGAGGATTTATTGTCTGAAAAGTTTTATCCTCAATTTAGCACTTGGAGACACGGCACATAAACTTGCCTTTTACATCCCTTCAACTATTCACAGCAAAACCAAATTCAACATTTTGTTGATAACTTAATAAACAACATAAAATCAAGACTCTAGAATGAATCCAGAACTCAGCAAATCATCTTCCTGATTTGAGAAAAGCCTGCATCTTTTTCAAAAGAATATTGGTCCCTTTTGATTCATAAAATGTAGGATTCATCTAATGTGATCATATTTCTTCACAACCTAAATTCAGATACCAAATTTTATTTAAATCTTTTTGCTACAAAAAATGTCTATTATCAATTTTGTTGAATAATATTTTAAAAAAGAAAAACCACCATTAAAAATTTTGTGGATTCAATATTGATCAAAAAGTGTACAAGACGAATCTAAAACATATTTTGACACCAGAAGTGAAGGAACTCTCTAAAACCATCAGCATTACCTCAAAACACATAGGAGATAATTTGAAATACTTAAATACATAAAATAGAATAATAATACTATTAAATACTTAAACACACAAAATAAATAAGTAGTTTATATATTTAAGTATTTTGCATTTATTACTCTAATCAATATTCAAATAGTTCTAATATTAATTAGAATATTAATTAGAATAATAACTGCAAACTACATAACTACATAAACTGTTTTAAACCTATGAGATAATAATATATTTTAATAATGTGTTTGCCTTTGGTGGATGCTAGGGAACCAATTAATTAATTTGAAGACCGATAAATAATAAAATAAAACAAGCATTTTCCTGAATTTCCTATATGAACCACTTTCAGGTTGATAATGAATTAAATGTCTTTATTTTTGGAAATACTCCAGCTAATAGACGATGGATGAATACAGAGTTAAAATTATCACCATCTTGTAACACCTACTGAATTAATGAATCAAGGCAACAATCATCAACTGCTGGTAACTACCCAAAAAGAGAGACAACAGAGATATATGTCTCCAAGTGATAATATTCAATACCACCTATTTTGGTGTTGAATAGGTATATACCTATTCAGTGTTGGTTGCATTCATATCAAAAATGTAAACCTGAATCTCATCAAGCTTCCAAATCTAACTTAATCTAATCAAGTTATAGGGCATATATGGAAGGAAATATTTTAAGCACCATAGTGTTGCAATCATCAAAATCTAGACTGTAGGAAACTGCATTACATTATGAAGGTCTTAAAAGTCATATTAACGAATTGCAATATATGGAACTCATTTTTGTCTTGCTTCAAACAAACAGTGGAAAAAAATAATATTTATGAATTGTTAGTTGTCTATGTATAATAATGCTGTTGCAGTTATATTTAAAAGAATCGTTTTTTTTTTCCAAATAAATGCTGAAATATTTACATATGAGATGGTGGGATATCTGGTATTTGTTTCTAAATAATTGCAGGGAACAAAGAGATACAGATCAAGCAAAATTGCTCATATACTAGTCTTTAATAAAGCCAGATTAAGAGTATTTGGGAATCTTTATAACATTCTTTCTAATTTGTTATTTAAAATATTTTATAATAAACATTAAAAATAATTTACTTTTATTTCAGATCGAAAGATTGGGCCATATGCTGCAAAAAGTTAAATTTTTTTCCGGCAAAATGAAATTAGTTTCCTCTGTCCAGTCTTCTGGCAAAAGATATCAACAAACATAAATTTCTCAAGGGACGATATAAAAAGACCACGTGTCATTTTTTTAAAACTTTCAATGGCAATTCTTTAAAACACATCACAGATCACCTACAATTTCCATACACTATAGGTCAATTAAACCCTTCATCAGTAGAGACAGAATCCGCACAGCTGGTCGTTATGATCAATTCAACAGCTATTGATGTATTTGAAAACAGCCATTAAGTCTATCCAGTTTTCTCCACAAGTAAGAGAAATATATATATATAAATTTTAAGACATTTTCCATTTGCTAGGTTCTACTTTCCCACATCCAGTCATGATTCAACTCCCTCTTGTCGCCTTCTTGAAGACATTATATCCATGGATAAGCTCTCTGTGCTAACCATATTGTTACTACATAGCAATTACCAGTAAGCATCCCTTATTCTCTGAAATAGCTTATTTCATTTTGTTTTATTTAATTATAAAGTGTACTACATAATAAAATTTCAGATGGTGATGCTCTTAACATTATATCTCAACTTTTAACATATATTACAAGAAAGTTTAAGTATAAATGACACTTTGTAAATGGATTGCATCAAGCGGTAATCCTAAATCTAAAATTTTCAGCAGTTCACCTTGCAAAAGAATATGGAGATGATGTATAAAATCAGTAAGAAGACATTTAAAGAAATTTCTAACTTGCACCAGTGTGGTGGCTCATGCCTGTAATCCCAGCACTTTGGTAGGGCAATGCAGGCAGATCACTTGAGGTCAGGCTAGATTAAATAATGTTAAATTGCATTACTTCTTCATATGCCTATGTTACTGACTGGTTGTAGTTGTATAATCTATTCAAAAATGACAATCTACCTAAAATTCTCCCAAAGTATTACTATTAGTCAATCAGTGATACTCTCATCTTGACCCAGTATTAATAATACTTTGAGTTACAGACAAGCCATCAGCCACCCACCCGTCTATACACAAACCCTTTAAAAGTTCACCTGGTACAAGGTGAAGTCTTTCAGTTTGCACATTAAAGGCTGAAATTAAAAATGATTGCTGTCAAAAGATACATATTATTTAAACCATGTCTTACTGCTTAAAAATATTTTCTTTGTTCCATTTAAAATTAACTGTATTCTTTCAAGCATAGAAATTAATATTTATCATCACTAAATCATGGCAGCATGCCTAAGCCAAATTAGATTAACATATATTTCCTTGATCAGCTCTCTCAAGAATATGAGGAAAAAAATTATAATTTGAAAGCATTTTTGTTCTATGCGTGATGTTTTCCTGGAACTGCAGGCAACGTACCTTCCCTTCAGGGGACAAATAATATCTCTCAAAATTAAAACCAAGACACACAGGTCAGGAATATATATTGTTAAATTTTAATGTCTAAATGTGTAAAATGACTGTTCTTTGGAATAGCATAGTGTCCAAATGTGAAAATGGTCTCCCAACATTCTGCCCTAATCATGAACTAGAAGAAAAAGACTTAACATTGTTCTATGCTGCTTAATTTCACCATCCTTAGCTAGTGAAAGCCATTCCTGCTTCCTGGCTATCTGCCCAAATGCTGAGCAATAAGTCAAAAGACTATCTCCCACTTGTAAACTATGTCCCACTTCCTAACTTTATAGTTAGCTATAAAGTGCTAACTTTGTTTTTACCTACTGTCTGTAGAAATGTATTATCTTACCATGTTGATATTAAACCAATAAACAAACAACAACAACAAAAAAACACGTTTGGATTAAATCCTGATTCAAACTTACAACATATATATCCAAAAATAAAACTATTGCATAATCTTGAATGCATTAACATAGGTAACCCCAGTGCTCTATTGTTAAAAATGTGTTGAAGTTCTATTTATGTACTCTTCATGGACTGAGCGTATGCAGCTTTCAGGGTCATCAAGGAGCACCAGGCTGTGCCACATCCTGGGTAAGGAGAAGACACCAGCAACCTGAAAGCTCTCCTGGCACCAGAGGCACAGCTTCAGCTCTCCTCTCACCAGTAAACTTAGGTTAGTCAAAGAGGATTTCACACAAAGATGTTGCTACATAAAGAAGTTTCTATTCATGCGTCCATGTCCCTAATCGTTTACAAGTGGGAGATAGTCTTTTGACTTATTGCTCAGCATTTGGGCAGATAGCCAGGAAGCAGGAATGGCTTTCACTAGCTAAGGATGGTGAAATTAAGCAGCATAGAACAATGTTAAGTCTTTTTCTTCTAGTTCATGATTAGGGCAGAATGTTGGGAGACCATTTTCACATTTGGACACTATGCTATTCCAAAGAACAGTCATTTTACACATTTAGACATTAAAATTTAACAATATATATTCCTGACCTAGACTCTCCAAAAAGCAAAGATGATTAGAGCCTAAAAGACACACACACACATATAATAAAGGAGATGAAGAGAGGGCCACACCAAGAACAGACCAAATTTTTGAAACTGAGGTATGTAGAGACAGAGGTAGAAAGATGAAACCATGGGATCTATTTTCTTAACTTTGGTTACTATGGATAAAGGGAACACAGGTGCATTATTCAAATCATGTGACACTAAAGAAAGGAGGTGCCTACTTTGAAGCATAAGCAAAATGGTTTTAGGACCAAATGGGGGGAAAACAGTTAACACACTGAATGTATGAATAAGCTTGTTAAAATGTAATATGATGGCAAAGCCATAAAATTAAGTCGTCAATGAGAAAAAAAATTGGATAGCAAAAATTCCATTTCCATGAGTCAAGTAAAATATTACACAAAGGTCAAGTCATTTGCCAGTATTATGAGAGTCTGGCATATTTATCCCTGAAAATAGCTTCAGATAAAAGGCCAGTGTAATGCTTTTCACATTAAAACATCAACAGCTACTTGATAGCACCTTGAAAATGTATCCATAAGGTCATTTTGACTTTAATATGTATTTAATATTATCACTCTGATGTTCTTATCTCAATGGATGCACTTGAACTCAAATCAATTTGTACAATATAATAATTGGAGATTATCTCATCACTTCAATTTAATTTAATATTTCTAAGTATTAATAAAAGTATTTTAAAATGTTCCAGATTTTTTCCACAAGTACATAAATCCATCCATCTTCACCTGCTAATTCAGAGCCTATCTTTCTGAGTATCTCTCTTCAAATACTAGCGTTTCCCTTTTTTTAAACTTATATCAGCTGTTGTCTATTTGAATTTTCTCAAAAGTTCAGTTTTAACTAGAGGGAGCAATGGTGAGGGTACTGATGAAGGTGAAGTATATCCCTAAACTAAAAATGCCACCCTCCATCAACCTTGTCAAAGTGCAAAGAGAATTCATCATTCAATTCTTCAATTTTGCAAGCAAAATTTAGCTTCTAAAATCATCTTGAATTTAAAATACTGCACACAGACGTTTAACTCATTTACTTATTAACACGATTTGCTGAACATCAACTCTGTTTCTAGCATTATCTGAATTACTGTGTGCAGAGTCATGAGCTGAGCATCCAGTACACTGAGCACAGCCTGGGTACTCCCTTCCTGGAGCTTGTTGTCACACCTTCATGAAAAACACACTTATCCTATGACACTAAGGCAGTCCCTGGAATATAGCAGGGGCTCAATAGGCAGTTCTTAAGTGACAGAATGAACATCACCATTCATTAGAAATTTCTCAAGTCCTATGAAGGAAAAGAAGAGATTGCTTTGAAAGATAACAATGTAAAAGGCATCACTGAGGAAATGATTTATGAACCCAGTTGTCAAGGAGGAGTAAGGATTAGTGAAACAGGCAGAGATTTGAAGTGAAAGAGTTTGGTGCATCTGAGAAAGTAAAAGAAGGCAAATGGATTTAGCTTTAATGAGTGAGCAAGAGAGCAGAAGACATTGGAGAGTTGAGTGGGAATTGGATATTATAAGACCTTAAAGCCACCTAAAACTTTTCAATTTTATCCTTGTCATAATGAGAAGCCATTGAAGTGTTTTAAACAAGAGAGTAATGCAGTCCAAAAAAATTTTTTAACAATAATTCTTGCTACTTTGTGGAAAATGGATTAAAGAATGACAAGTGTGGAATTGGGGAGATGAGGGTGTGAACTCATTATGGTGGCTTGGCCAGGGCTAACGGCAATGAAAAGGAAGAGTGTGTACAGATAAAATATAATTAGGCGGTAGAAATCACATCAGCAGCGTGCAAGGATGGAAGAGATATTGAGAATACACCCAGATTTCAGGCTAGCTTTACCAACAAAAATACTAAAGAAGTTAGCAGAGAGCAAGAGGAACATCTAAAAATAATTTAATAAGCTCAGTTTTATAAGCCCTTTTATCACATTAATACCTATGCTTCTGAAACATCCAGCACATTGAAATCTATATTTACTGTAAATGGTTCTCAGTTGTAGTTTTTAATTCCCTATGGGAATAGCCAAGCACTCCCTTCTCAAAGCAGGGGAAAATAGTTGTTGACATAGCAAATTGTTTTCAGCTTGTATAGTGCTGACTGGCTTTTCCACTGAGTGTTCTCATTTCCAGGATTAGGAAGACAGGGAAGAGAATCAGACACCTAGCTCCTGCAGTCCTGACTCGAGGTTGCTGCAGTAAATGGCTACAAACTGATCAATGGAGAATTGACTGACGGCTGGCTCTCTTCTTGTCTGCCCTTGTGGGTTAACAAGGTGCCCTATCTTGGTGGAAACAGGCTTCAGGTTTTTATTTGAACCCATATATATTCCAGGAAGCAAGATGCTGAGGAAATCACACTATGGAACTTAGGTACTCAGACAACAGTGGTCCCTCACTCTTTTGTCTTTGATTTACAGCTACTCTTTATAAAAAAATATTCATATGAATACACACACACAAAAAATGTTTCATACAATTTAGGGAGTACACAAACCCATTGACACCCAATTATGGACCCGGGAATAGTTAAGAACACCTGGGATTCTATGGCATAAATAAAGCAAGTGTGCTAATACTAAACTTCACAGCACGGGATAGAAGAGAGGTAAAGGTTGTACCTCCCCCCCAACACATTTTAATATCATGAATCAAGACTGGCATGCTGCTCAAAATCATCCCATCACAAACAATTATATGGAATGGTGTCAAAAGCACGGGTCTGGTATCAGAGTCCTGTGTTTAAGCTGTACCACACGTGGGTTGATCTTGAGAAAAACTTTAAATTGTCTGAGATTCAGGGATCTTGTTTTAAGGCAAGGGCAATAATAATGCCTGATAAAAACATATGCATATAACAATATTTAATAACTATACATTGCTATAAATATTCTTATTTGTATCTTTCACTTATATTTTACTCAAGCCACTTCATTCACTCTGGACTAGTAGCAGAGGTATCGTAGGTTCTTAGCTGCTGATGCCAAAAATTGCTTTTTATGTTACAACTAAATATTTGGACATCGGGTTGATACAGCCTATCTCTGAATTGTGCACACAAAGCTTTTGCTGTTGTTGTTTTACTCTAAATATGTTTCCCAGGTTTCAAATTACATTAGTCATTATCACTGCAAAATTAAACCAAGGGATCCTTGAGCTTTATAACACCTTTGTAGCTCTATAACATCCATAGAAGTGTCAAGTGTAGGCATATAATTTGCCCAATTACAAAGAGATGAGATACTGCCACTTACCTCGGTCACTGTCATAGAGGTATGCAAACTTGTCCCATTGATAGTATTCAATCAAGCTAAGGAGTGCTCCTTTGAGGTCAGGTCTCATCTGAATGACAAATGGATGTGTGCCATCTGTTGGGAAGCTGGGAGTGATGAAGGAGACGTGGAGCGTTCCACAAAATGATGTGATGGTATTTACAGACTTCTTGTCATAAAATCCAAAAATAGCATAGACTCCTCTCGAAAACTGGGAGCAGACTAGAAGAATAAGAAAGAACAGACAGAGTAAATCACTGAAATTGGCGTATAATCATATGAATTTGCTGGAAACTTAATGCACTTTTATATAAAATACAAAATTAACATTGTAAGAAATATAGATTTAATGATCCATTGAACTTGATGAGCACTTACTTAGCATTCTATTTCTAGAATCTAAAAGACTCTAAAGCATAAAAAAAATTCTAGTTACAAGAAAATGCATACATCATTGTTTAACAAGTTCTGTAAGTACTAACATATTTTAGAAACAAATATGAAAAATGTATGAGTAAAAAATATTAGCTATAAGAACAAACTGTAGTCACCTGAGATTTAAACACATTCATGACAGCTCATTCCCTACATAATCCAATTCCTTTCAAAATCTTTACTGTATTTACAATACTTTTACATCAAAAATTTAATGTGCTTCCATACAACCCTAATGCATACCAAAACCTCTTTAAGACAAGATAGATACCAGACTCCCATCATACATAGAGGGACATGTTCCCACAAAGGGACTTCTGTCATATTGTCACTCAGTTGAGAAGCAATTAAATAAAGTCCAGAACTTTACATTTTAATCTTCGCCATGGATCTAACTTACCCTGTATGTTACACTACATGTTCCCAAAATATTTTGGCTAAGGACCATAATTCTTAAACAAATAATAACATTGTATTTGGACCTCCCCATTACTCCCATAATCCTTTGGCCTCTTTCAATATTTCTATTTCCAGTGAATGGCATACAACACTACCTGCTTTCACTCTTTCCCCCAAAGTCCATCCACAACTAAGTCATGCTCATTATAACAAATGGTTATACTCAAATAAGGTCCACTTATTTTTCTCCATTTTCCAACCATCCTGGTTCACTGACAGTATATACTTAACATCGTGCTTGCCCTGTGCCTGGCGTGTTCTAGGGTACGTTAATTCATTTCTTTCTTGTGATAACTTTTGAGTTAGGAACTCTAATTATTTCCAAATTACTGATAGAAAAATTGACACGTAGAATGATTATTAAGTGACCTACCAAAGTCACTTGCGTAGGTGACAGATGCTACAGTCAAACATAGGGAGTCTGAATTTAGAATCCATACTCTTAATTAATGAATAAAGATGGCTTTGGCTTATCTTAGCTGACTAGTGAAATACCTACCCAACTGTCCTCCTCCCTCCACTTATGTTCCTTCCATTCAATTCTCCACAATATAATAAGGATGATCTTTTGAAACATAAATCCAGTAATATCTCTTTGAGAAAAAAGGGTACTTTGTCTAAGACTGATCCCCTGTAATGCTCTATAGAGCACTGACCATCCACAGAATAGTGCTTAAAGCCACTAGTGAAGTCAACTATGTGGCTTTAAATAAATAAATAGCTGATATTTCTCAATCTTGGGGTCACTTCAATCCAAGGAATGGAAAGCAGTCATCCAGTATCATAATCTAACAACCTAGAACATAACATCTACCATCCTTTTAATTAATCCTTTTTGAGAAATAAAATGAACCTTATGTAATTGTATTTCCTTCACAAAAATAGATGGTCTGTAGAAAAAATAGATTTGTTTCATGAATGTGAGCATTGCTAGAATATGTACAGGTTCGAATTGCCAGATATAGACAATCAAAAAAAATATGCCATGATGTTTAGTAACTGTTGTATGGTATGAATCGAAAGGAAAGCAAGGTTGCATCTTTAAGTGGCCCTTATTTGCCAAAAATCTGTGTAATATGTAAATTGACATATCCTTTATTACCAATCTTCTACAGAGCAGACTGAAATATCTCAGAAAGCAACTGAATGCATTTCATTACATTTCTTTCATACCTTAACATAAGGCAAAGATGAGATTACTGTCTTTTATTCATGCCCATACTTTTTGTTCTTGTCTGGGTACAGAGTTGACGATAACCTTTAGTGTATTTGATCACTATGTCCTCTATTCACACACATAAAAAATGGCCTTCATCTCATCTAGAAAAACTCTGCAGTTATTTCTTATTTTATACATAAGCATATGTCTACTGACAGGTATATCTTAAATCTTAAATTTGTTCAGAAATTGATGATTCCAAATGACACATGAAAGAAAGACATGCTATAAAATTCTCTCTGGGTCTATTTAATTCTGCTTCCTGCAAAGTGTGGGCATGTCATCCAGGTACTACAGGAATATCACGCAATATGATTTATTAATGAGACCTCTTCTCATCTTAAGTGAAATAGCTTCTGTGATGGAAACAGCAGACACAGCATCAGCAGAATGCTTGATAAAGAATGCCACTGTTTGAATACACAGGCAATCTTAATAAGGAGCCATACCTTTCATTTTCAATTTGTTTTAGGCTCTGGAGTGAGTTGTCAAGGGACCTCCTGGTCATTGTGGCCATCTGGAAACACTGGCTTTGACCCAACTACAGGCACAAGCTGCACAAAACTTCATAAGGAATTATAATCCACCTAATTCAGAAGACACCCTTGTTTCCCTGGGCACTTCAGCTAATTCTCCAATGAACCTACAGCAATAGCCTTTCTCTCCTGACTCTCTTTGGTTTCCTCAACCGTCTTCTCTTATCCTTCATTTCTTCATGGCACTTACTCAAGTGTGTCTATTTGCCTATATCCTTATTTTTCTGGATATTTCTTTCCTATGTCTCCTGATTACGCATACAGTTAACAACCATTCAGCCAACAGTGCTCATTTCCTTCTCTGTACCTCAGGGCAGTCACTGTCTCTCTCCTTAAGCAGGATAAGAATGCCACTGAGATTTACAACCAGGAACCAATCAAATCCATCAAAATGCTCACCTGAGCTAAGGTACTTTGCTTCCCTCATTTGTAGTAACCATCTGAAGATGAAAAACTTAGCCCTATGCTTCAAATACGTCATCCCCAAATACCCAAGACTGTTCACATTGTAATATTGATCCTTCCCCCAATTTAGCATAGGCAATTTAACCAACTGACACTTTTCATAAGAATATTAGCTGCAGTATTTTGGAATTACTCCTACTTCATTAGAAGTGAAATTATTCATTTTCATTTTTTCCTTATTCCTTAATGATGCCTCCAAAATTTAAAGCCATTTCCTTAACTTTGATCCATCCTCTAATAGAGGAAGTTTTACTACAATAAAGACCATCCATAATAACGTGTCATAAACTCTGAAACAATCATTCCAAAGACAATTTTCTGAAATGAGTTAGACACTACTAACATCCCATATAGTCATCTCTGGAGGCAGACAAAGAAACAGAAATCCACACAATTTCACCTCCAGTTTCATGACCCTTTCAATTACACTATGAAACACTATTATAAGTTTCTCAATGATTATCCTCATTAATATTAGAATTATGTTTATGTCTTGAGACAAACTGGATTGCAAAGGAGCAGCTAAAGATGCTCTCACTGACTTCTGTAATTAAATATTTAAATGAACTTTGAGAAACTCAGCAAAGGACAAGTCCTTCTAAAAGACACTTTAGGTCAAATAGCACGGATGATAATCTCCTGGGTGTAAGTAACTTGCTGATTATTTCACTTTTTATTACAAGCCCAGATGATATAAGCCAATGCTGATGGTGCATCCAACCCACATCTTGTTCTCTTAGGTCATTCTGCTCATTGGTGCTGCTAATGTAGCATACACGATACAGTGTGTATGCTGAACAAAATCTAAATAGCCTCGCATAGTTATTGAGTAGAAAGGGAGAAGAACTGAGCATGATTTTTTTTGTTTTACATATTTTATATTTATAAGTTGACATTCACTTCAATGAATCAGCACAGTCTGCTTCATAAGCAGAAATGGCAATAGCTTCTTTGCAGTTTGAACAAAAACTGGTAAAAGCTGCATCACCAAGGAATTCTGACATGAAAATATGGAAACCACTGAAAACCTCTCTCCTTTTTTTCCTACACTTCTGACATTAACCCCGTACATACTTTGACCCTGACTTCAGTACTGAAATTTCCCTATCATCTTTTAGTAAGGATCTCCCAGTAACTAAAAATAATCATCTTTTCCTGGGATCTAGTTTTCTTAGCTTCTCTGAATTTATTAAACCAAAATTTGCCTCTTGAAATTCTTTCTCTTTCCACTGTTACTAGTCTTACTCTCTTCTAATTCTTTTTTCACATTGCTGCCAAGTAAAATTATACCATCTTGGTACCTTTTCTCTCTCTAATTATCTTTCACTGCCTTATCTTTATCCTACATCCTAAATTAAAAAGACCTTCTCCAGGGATTTGTCTTCCAATTGTTTTCTCTTCTCTTCTTTCACTCTACCTCTTAGTGGTCTCACCTCTTTCCACAAGGTCAAATTCAGTGTGTACGCACATGTTTCCCAAACCTTCATTATTATCCCATTTGTCTCCTGTAACTATTAATTTACCAAAAAATGTACCGCAAATATTCTATATGGCAGGCATAGTGTTAGTTTAGAAAATGCACAGCAAACAGGATAAGTATTATGATCTGATTCAGGAAAAAATGGAATTTTACCTATGCTTTGATATTCCACACTCAGTCATTTCTGATGAAATATAATTATCATTTTGGAAACTATTTCTCTGTCTCCAAAAAAACAAAAATCTTAGCTTCAATCTGTCACCTTCCAGTGTCCCTCAGTTCATTATATGGAAACTTCTAATACCATATATTTCCAATGAATTCCATAAAAACAAGGTAAAAGTACTTTCTTTTATTTGATGAACCACATCTATGTGTTGATTTTTCCCTTTCTAGTCATGCGTGATAACTATTGCCATCATTTATATGCAATAGTTCAGAATAATGACCTTCTTGCTCTTCCCTGTCCTGTGCGTGCCATCCATCACCATTTAATTTTTATTCTATTTCATTCATTGCCCATTTACAAAGCACTTTCAGGAACCTACTATGCACTGATCTAGGTTTGGGGAAGACAGTACTAAGCACAATAGGTAAGGTCCCCACTCATATGAAGTTTGCATAACAG